TGAAAGTTAAGGCACTCAGTCGCATCTGACTCTTAGGACCCCATGGACTGCAGCCTACCAGGCTCCTCCATCCAAGCGATTTTCCAGGCAAGAGTACTGGGATTTGGCCCTGCCCCAATATCTCTGTTCATCCTTAGCCACCTGCCTGCTGGCACACACTGACACAGGGAGCAGCTGTTTGGGAACAGATGGCTCAGTGGTAAAGAATCTGCCTGCCAATGCAGGAGGTGCAAGAGACTTGAGTTCCATCATTGGGTCAGAAAGATTCCTGGGAGTAGCAAATAGCAACCGTAAAATGAAAATACCTCCTGCCATATCAATAAACAAGAAATGTCACAGCCATCAGCTATCTCTGGCCTCCAAATGTTGAATGGGAGAGCTCCTAAAACTGCAATCCAGCAGATGCTGCCACCCCTTCCCCCCACCCCATGGGGGAATGCAAGAAGCAGCCATTTGCCACATTTGCCCCTCCTTAAAAAGAACTAGGAAACAGGATTTGACCCAAGATAGCCAAGGTGCATATGAAAGGAATTAATTCAATGAGTCCAGAGGTTTACAACTTCCCATACAGTGAGTGCAAAATTCCTTAATTTGTTATCTGACTTTGATGTTTAGCCTGCCTGCTTCCTTTGTTGCAAAGATGTAAAGCCTGACTTCCCCTCCTTTCTCCTTGGAGCAGTTTTCTCAGAGCTACTGAGATGCTGTCTCCAGGGCTGGGGATTGTCCCACAGAATAAAGTAACTCTCTTTCAGGTTCTGAATATGTTTTTTAGTCAACACAACCCATTTTAATATTCTTTCCTGGAAAATTCCATGGACAGAGGAGACTGGTGGGCTACAGTTCATGAGGTCACAAACAGCTGAACACAACTGAGTGTGCGCGCACACACACACACACACACACACACGTGAAACCCACTAAAAGTATAGGAGCTATATTTTGATATTCTTTCTATTTTGCAGTTCAGTCTCTGGTTTACTTACTCTCTTTGTCTGGATCTGCACTCTAAATCAGGATTCAGAACACTGTTATCACAGAACAAATTGTAGTCACAGCCTGTTTCAGTAAAAAAGCTTTATTGGAACACAGCATAGTGGATTGAATGGTGGGCCTTCAAAAGATATGTGTATATCCTAACCCCTTGTACCTGCCAAAGTGACCTCATTTGGGGAAAAAATATCTCTTACAGATACAATTGAGGACTTCTAGTGAGATCAACCTAGATTATCCAGGTGGACCCAAAATCCAATGACAAATGTATTTATAAGAAACACAGAGAGGAGATACACAGGTTTGAGAAGAAATTGTGAATCTTGGGTATCCTTTCCTGATCCAATGTGGTCCTCACCAACATGTGTTGACTTTTTTTCTCTTTGATAATAGCCATTCTACCCATCCCTGGAGGAAGAAATGGCAATCTCCAGTATTCTTGCCTGGAAAATTCCATGGAAAGAGAAGCCTGGTGAGCTACACAGTCCCAAAGCGTTGCAAAGAACTGGACATGAGAGAGCGACTAAGCACAGAACAGCATTCTAACCATGGGAAGTGCATCTTGTGTTTAAATAGTGGCTTTGGTGTCCATTCCTTTGGTGATTAATGATGTTGGGCCTCTTTTCATGTGCCCTTTGGTGAATCTGAGGCCTTCCTTGGAAAACTGTCCATTGAAGATTCCTGCTCATTTTTTAATACGGTTGCCTTTTTGTATTGAGTTGATTGAATTCTCTGTTTTTTTGATAAAAAACTCTTCATTGGGAATATAATTTGCAAATACCTTTCCCCATGAGATGGTGGCTTTTTAATTTTATTGGTGATTTTCTTCACTTTTTCAGTTTTTAGTCTGATGTAATTCCCTTTGTTTGCTTTTACTTTTTTATTGACTGAGGAGATGTATCCACAAATATATTTCTAATTTTAATGTCAAAGAGGTACAGCCTATGTTTTGTTCTATGATTTTTAATGTTTAAGGTATCAAATCTATTTTTAATCTGTACTGAGTTTATTTTTGTATAATAGCATAGTAGGGCAGATCCATTTCATTCTTTTGTACCAAGTTGTACTGGAAAATATTCCTTTTCATATTGTGACTTAGTTACCAAACTGAAGTGGTTTTAGTTATTTTAATGCTTTTTCCCTCTAAAACTTACACTGTAATTTTAAACAACTCGTTTTCATATAGAGTTGCAATTTTTCTGATTCTGTCACCTTAGGCATAGTTTTGTGTCATTGCGCCTTCCCATTCAAGGTAAAAGAGAACATTCCAGCATTTCTTATAAGGCATTCCAGTAATGCTAAACTCCCAGCATTAGTTTGTATGCAAAAGCTTTTTTTTCACTTTCATATCTGAAAGATAGAGGTTTCCCCATTAGCTCAGCAGTAAAGACTCTTCTTGCAATACAGAAGATTCAGGAGACAAAGGATCTATCCCTGGGTCCAGAAAGTACTCTGGAGGAGGAAATGGCAACCCACTCCAGTATGCTTGCCTGGGACATCCCAAGGACAGAGGAGTTTGGTGGGCTACAGTCCTGTCCATGGACCAGGGGATCTTCCCGACCCAGGGATCGAACCCAGGTATCCCACATTGCAGGCAGACGCTTTATCATCTGAGCCACTGGGGAGCTCATTATCTTTCTTACCTCTTCTAATGGAGTCAGATGTTTCTCACAGACTATCTTCATTAAAAAATCTTAGTTCTGCCTTCACTTCTCCTAAATCACTCTACCTTTCAGCTCACTGTTACTCACATCCATAATGCATCCTTTACTTCCAGTGTTTTCTAAGGCATCCTATGTCTCATTTATTGAGTTGTTTAGCTCCAGAATTTCTTCTTGGTCATGTCTAAGAGTTTTCATCTTTTTGGGAAGTGTTCCTTATGTTCACTATTATTTTTATTCCTGAGCTTATTAAAGTGTCTTTATCAGTTTTATTATAATTTGTTGAGTTTCTTCCAGAAGCTGCTTTGACTTTTCTATTTAGTTAATCACAGTTTTCTATAATGTTAATATTAGTTCATGAAAAATTGTTATTTCCCTTTTGTGAGTCCATGTTCCTATGGTTTTTCATGGTACTCACTAGATTGGTCTTCTGCCAGTGCATTTGAAATAGCAAACACCTGCTTTATATGGGTAAATCCTTGTTTATTTTGATTCTAAGAATTCAGATTGCTAACTAGAGGCCCTTCTTTGTTTTTCAGTTAAGCTCTATTGAATGAGGTTTTAGTCTCTTCTATATGACCTACAACTGCCTATAAGTGAGAAACTGCAGTGCCTGCCCTTCAGTGTCCCTACCAGATGTTTGGCCTGGTGCCTTGTAGTCACTGCTGGTGCCTCCAGGGTCGCTGATGCCTTGGTGCTGCCAGTGTCCTTTCTGTGGTTGGCATCTCTGCTGTGGGAATCAGGACAGTGGGTACTTGTCATCATCCAGGGTTGCCTGGTTCGAGATCCCCAGCACCACCCCACCGCCATCTTCCTGTGGTTGTAGGTGATGCTGCATCTGGAAGTCCAGGGTGAAGCGTGCCACCTCACTGGTGCTCTGGGTCCATGGGCTCAGCTGCCTCAATCATAGCACTGGGACCAGGGATGCTGATGGTTCTACTTCCCCTGCATGTTCTAATCAGCCTACCTTCATGAGTACATATATGTGAATCTCTGGAGGTCTGGTGTATTGGGAAGAGGAAACTTTCTTAATGTATAGATGTTTTACTAATAGTAGATTGAAGGGGAGAGACAAAGGGAGTATCTAATGTTATCATGATGCTGACATACTAATGATAAACTCATTTTTCCATAAACTCTAACATAACAGGCACTCATAATGAAGAAAACTATCATTTACCGCCGAAGAAAGAAGTACACTATGCAAAAACCTTTAGAATTAACAACATAGAGAAAGACAGATGAATATAGACTCATAAGGAGCCCAGCAGAGATCAGAACTCCATTCTACACAGTTTCATTTGGTAGTGAAGGGGTTGTATTACAACATTTATCATTAGGAGGAGTTCTAATGCATCAATGTTCAATGATACAACATAAAAGCAAACAGAACTGAAAGCAACATTAATTATCTACTCCTTATCATTCTATACATTTATACAATATTTAAATACAATATTCATAGTTACTCTGCTTTTAAATTTTATGTCAGATAATTGTACTTTTTTTAAAAAGTGACCCAACTGAGATTTCGTTCCAGGTAAGTAGGAGATTGGAAGACAAGTTTGTTTGCTCAAATTGTGACCCTGTGTCATGTGACCAAACAAAATTTTTTTTTTCCAAACTGATATTAAAGCTTTCCAGTAAGTCTTTTTTGATCATGATGATCCATACATATATTTGTATATAGAATCTTAGACCTTGAGCAACACAAGGGTTAAGGGCATCGACTCTTTGCATAGTCAAAAGTTCTCATATAATTTTATAGTCATTTCTTTATACCCAATAATTCAACCAACTTTATTTAAAATAATATGATTTGTCTTGGTTGTCAGCTGTATGTTTTTTTAAATAAGTAATAGAATCCACGGTTCTTTCAGGAAGACAAATGAAAATTACTTGGGGTGTCATATGAGTTTTTAATTAATTAATTTTTAATAGGAGGATAATTGCTTTACAATGTTGTGTTGGTTTCTGCCTTACAACAACAAGAATCAGACATAACTAGATGCATCCCTCCCACCCGTTCATCCCACCCCTCTAGGGTATCACCATTTTGAGAAGCAATTATTCTGAATAAATTTGTGATGAACCATCAGAGGAATGGGATTTCCAAACATTTCTAATCTAAACTTAGGAAAATTTTGAAGTAGGAAACAATATATACTGTCTGAATATCAGACTGATGAAAAAACTTAAAGACAGTTACTAAAATTTCCATAGAGAAGCTGAATCAAAATAAAAGGGAAATCTGAGGAAATAAATAGAAGCAACAAATTTTATTCTACAAAGACCAAAGCATTGCAATATCTGCTTCCAAACCTTTGAGTCATGTGATCAAGAAAATATTCATTTCTTACATGTAACTGGCAATTTTACACCTGGCATCCCCAAATAGAATCTCTTCAGAGACTTCTTTATGTCTTTGTTCCTCAGACTGTAGATGAAGGGATTCAGCATGGGCATGACCACAGTGTACATCACCGAGGCTGTTACACTTGTGTGTGAGCTGTGTGTAATGGCAGGGCTAAGGTACACTCCTAAGACTGTACAATAAAATAAGGAGACAACTGAGAGGTGAGATGCACAGGTGGAGAATACTTTATATTTCCCCTGAGCCGATGAGATTCCAGTTATGGAGGAAACTATTTTAGAGTAAGAGTAGATTATGCCAGCAAAAGGACCACCACCAAAGAGAGCAGTTGAAAAATAGATCACTATGTTATTGAGAAAAGTGTCAGAACAAGAAAGTTCTATCACCTGATCGAGTTCACAGAAAAAGTGGTGGATTTCCAAGTCTGAGCAGAAGGACAATCGCAACACCATCAAACTGTGTAACAAGGAATACATGATATTCATTGTCCAAGAGAGAAGCACCAGCAGTCCACAGAGCCGGGGGCTCATGATGACCATGTACTGCAGGAGGTGGCAGATGGCCATGTACCAATCATAGGCCATCACAGCCAGGAGAATGTCATCTAATCCTGCAAAGAGTATATAAAAATATATCTGGGTGATACAAGCTTCATAGGTGATAACTTTGCTATGTGTCTGGATGTTCCACAGCATATTCGGGATGGTGGTAGAGGTGAAACAGATGTCTACAAAGGATAGGTTGGAGAGGAAGAAATACATGGGGGTGTGGAGGCAGGAGTCTGAGCTGACAGCCAGGATGATGAGCAGGTTTCCAAACACAGTGATCAGATACATGCAGAAGAAAATCACAAATATGAGGGGCTGCAGTTCTGGTTTCTCTGAAAATTCCAGAAGAAGAAATTTTGAAATTTGTGTATTGTTCTCCAGTTCCATATGGCAAATGTGACTAGGGAGAAAAGGAAAGCAACTGATTAATTTTCACTTAAACGGGCATACCTAAAGTAGCTGAAATACTATAATTTCTATTTTGTAGGCAAGAAATTGATGTTAATATGTTGCATATATACGAAATTTTCTTGATGATATACCTCATTTCACCTCTGACTAGAATTTTTATTGTCCCATTCTCAGTAAATTTACAAGGCTTTGACCCCTGGGTCAGGAAGATCCCCTGGCAAAGGGGATGCCTATTGACTCCAGTATTCTTGCCTGGAGAATTCCATGGACAGAGGATCTTGTCCATGGGGTCACAAAGAATATGACAGGACTGAGCTACTAACACTTTCACTCTACAGTTTTAATGAGAAACTCTTTCATGCCTTTGAGAAATATGTATTGAGAGCCAACATGTTCCAAGAACAAAGAGGGATGCAGAAAAACAAATCTCCACATTTCAAGAATGGAGATAGATGATATTAAAGTAAATATTTTATGGAAGATGACAAATGGTGACAGATGTTATGAAGAAAATGAAACCAGATACAAAGAAGAGAGTAGTAAAAGGAGTTATTTTGCACTGAGTGTTCAGGCAAGGTCTGCAAACAAAGGGTTATTTGAAGAGACACCAGGAAAGAGAGAGAAGCATTTAGTATGATACCAGGAGAAGTGTATTCCTGGAAGAGGGAGCTGCCACTGCAAAGGATCTGAGGATGATGCTGGTTCCACATGTTCAAATGCAAACAAGGAAGCCAGTAGGGCAAAGGAATAAGCAAGAGGCGGAGTGATTAGAGATGGTGTCAGGGATGCTGAAGAAAAACATGGCCTCCCTGCTACAGCTGAACCTTCATTCCAGAGAATTCCTCCTTCCTGTTGTTCCCAGCACTTCAGAAATTTAGTTGCAAAGGCACCCTGTGGATTGAAGGAGGTCCTCTTCTTAGTACCGCCTGTTCACTGAGTTCTGGCCTCTCTCACCTTATTATGTCACCTTAATATATGACCAGGTGCTTCTGCTTTAAGAACTGCTCTCACTCCACAAGGCACAGACACACCGTGGCTTCCTGGACTGTGTTACTGTCATGATTTTCTCATCCAGAACCACCCTCCTTAGGCTATCAGTGGTGACAACTCAAGCTAGTCGGATCAGATTAAATTTCTTCTAAAGAATTTTTAAAAGGTACCTAGAAATTTCACTTCATAAATTTCCAAGGAAGCAATAAATTTGAGGCTCCTTTCTGTTTTGGCCACTTGATACAAACAGCCAACTCATTGGAAAAGACCCTGATACTGGGAAAGATTGAGAACATAAGGAAAAGGGGGCAACGGAGGATGAAATGGTTGGATGGCATCACTGATTCAATGGACATGAGTTTGGGCAAACTCCAGGAGATGGTGGGGGACAGAGAAGCCTGGCATGCTGCAGTCCATGGGGTCACAAAGAATTGGAGACAACTTGTCAACTGAACAATGACAACAACCACCCACTTTTCTTTATATTAAAGAAATATAAAAAGTATTAGAGATAGATAGATATAATGAAGAAAAAAGATCTGATGAGCTCCAGTGCCCCTGAGAAAATGTGACTAAGAAAAATTTCCTTTGTTTGGGAACATTGCAAATTCAGCTACGTATCCTTAATGCCCAGGTAAAATCATAAAGAAAAATATTTTTTTGCCAATGACAGAAACAGTGATATATATGTAGTGTGAAAAATATACAGATTTAATACCCCAAGAGAAAAATAAACAAAGGGAGTAAACTAAGAAATCAAAATGGAAACATGGAATACAACAAAATTTCTGTGTGTGTTATATGAATCAGTAGAAGATTTGTTTGTCCTGAGTGTTTTTCATATTACTTTTAAAATTATATTTTTGTGATCTGATACTGAATGAAGAAAGACCTGTCTATTTTCTTATGGGAGATATTTTATTTATCATTCTTGTGCTTAATATTTCTTTTTAACATAAATCCAGTGGGCACAATTTAATTCCTGTTCTGGTCTTTGTCCAACATGCAAAGGTCTTTCCATTCCATACTTATAAAGGAGTAATAAGGAGGTAATGAAAATTCATTCTGTTATTCTGGATAAAGGTATTTGCATAGTTTAAACCTGAAAACACTATGTTGTAGTCTGTGCTGATCTGTGCTTATCTGACTCTTTGCAACCCCATGGACTGTAGCCCACCAGGCTCCTCTGTCCACTAGGACTCTCCAGACAAGAATACTGGGGTGGGTTGCCATGCCCTCCTCCAAGGGATCTTCCTAACCCAAGAATCAAAGCCAGGTCTCCTGCATTGCAGGCAAATTCTTTAGTGTCTGAGCCACCAGGGAAGCCATATTAGCCTACTGCACTGCAACTCTGTCACTATAATGCAATATCAGTAGAGACTTCAACTGCATTGTTCACTCACTTTTCCCAAAGATATGGGAATATATGCATATTTATTTAAAAATGCACTTAAGAAAGTTAGAAATTATGAAATAAAAAGAACAGCAAAAACAGTAAAAAAAAAAAAAAAAGGTGATTTTGCATAATTGTATTAAATATAACTGAGTGGAATGTCAAAACTGAAACATGATGTGTAATAACAGTCATTGGACAATTACAACACTAAGTGATAATTAATTAAGAAAAGACTTTGACTTAGGAGAACATAACATATAATTTACCCAGAAATTTTGGCACATAGCAGATGCTTTGCTATTATTTGTGGAATGATTAGGAATTAGGTTCCCTCAGATATGAACACTGTCCTATAGGAGCATTATATTTCAATTTGGTTGGGAAAGTCCAGATTGTTGAATAAAACGTGGCATAAATGACTGTCTACCTGGAAGAAAATGAAGTAGTTCCTTACACAGCACATCTTTTAAAAAGGGACCAAAGATCCCCAAAGTAAACAATCTACTTTAGATGAACATATAAAAAACTACACATAAAATCATAGAAGAATATCATAATTAAGGTGAGAAAATAAGAAGTAAGGAGAAAGACAGATTTGACTCTATAAAACTTAACATTTTATGGTCAAAACACCCAACCAAAAGTCAATTATAGAACCAATAATTTGTCAAGATCATTGGAAATGCAGCAGCTGTTGAGAAATAGGCACACACTGATCAAATATATGAATCTTTACTCAAAGTGACTAATAGGTTAAAAATCACCAAGAAGTCTCATTCACAACCCTCAGCCCAGGAAAACACTTATTATAGATTGAGGTTGAATCTTCTAAAGAGGTATCACAGACATAAGGGGAGTTCTGTAATTTTGCTGGCAAAAATGTGATGTGGAGAACATTTTGGAAACTACCTATGACAGCTCTTGATTGTGGAAGCACAGATATTCTTTAACTCAGAGTTCCTGCATCTCTGCACTACTGAACATTCTTTGGCAGACCATTCTCTGTGATGGGGTCTGCCCTGTATACTGTAGGATGTTTAGAAGCATCCTTGCCCATCATCTACCCTTCATCAGTGTGATAGTGAAAAATGTCTACTCATATCACTAAGTGTCCCCTGGAGGACACAATTACCCTTGGTTGGGAAGCAGTTTTAAATTAACAGTATTCACATATTCTCATAATAACTTATAGCATACCTGAAAGTTGCTAACAGACAGCAGATCTGAAAATTTCTCATCACAAGAAATGAATTGGAACTATGTGTGGTGACAGATGTTAACTAGATGTACTGTGGTGATCATTTAGTGATATAAACAAATACTGAATCAACATGCAATATGCTTGTAACTCATATGTTGTTATGTGTCAAAGAAAGGAAGTGAAAGAAAGTGAAAGTCTCTCAGTCATGTCTGACTCTTTGAAACCCCACTAGCATGATATAATTGTTAAAAGTGACATTCATGCTTCCAAGCACAATGTTTACTTGGAAAGCCAGCAAACAGCCACAATGATCTCTGACCTCTGTGCTATGCTAGATTGGTCCTTAGGTGACCTCAAGTACATGTTCCTGGCTTCCCTCCTCTCTGATCCTCTCCCGAAGTATCTGTGAAGCTCTCAGACTCACCCGCTTGGGAACTCTGCATGGAAGTTTTCCCTGCAAAGGTCAAAATCTCCCCCCTAAATAATTGGTGATGGAGACCAAAGTTCGTCCCTAAACAAGACAACAGCATTGGTNGAGAGTGAGAGAAGATACTGTAATGTGTGTGTTTCCTACACAGCTATTGAAAGTGTGTATTTGCAAACAGTCATTGGTTTAGATCTTTCTCCTCTATGTGGATGCAGACTGATATGTCCCTTCTTACAATAAAATGAAATGCCCTCACCTCACTGACTGACCCTCTACAGTTAATACCCTATTTGTCTATCCCTGTTAATTAGAAGAAACTTAGACTCATGTTCCACTTTTACTGGATGCAGTTTATACCACCCGTTCGTTCTTTTGTAGGGCTTCCACTAGCATGATTTAATTTTCAACAATGTCACTCGTGTTTTCAGGTGCACTGTTCCTTTTCCAGCATCATAAATAAATACATTTTTAGGAAACCCAGCAAACAACCGCAGTGACCTTTGCCTCTGGGCTATGCTAGATTGGTCTTCAAGGGACCTCTGGTACCTTCCTGGCTTCCATCCTCTCTGACTCTCTCCTACAGTGTCTGTGAAGCTCTCAGACTCACCTGTTTGGGAACTCTGTGCAGGACGTTTCCCTGTGAAAGTAAAAAATCTCCCCCTAGGTAGCTGGCAATGCAGACCAAAGCTCTGTTTCCCCACAAGACAGCAATAAGAGATCAAGCATTGTTCTCTCAGCCAGATGTAGGATTGCAATCTAAGGGAGCTAACATGAGATAGCAATCCAAACTGTGGGATAGCCAGAGAGAGAAAGAAAAGAGAGAGAGACAGAGAGAGAGAGGGAGAGAGAGAGAGAGAGAAATTTCCCATGAAAAGCTCTAACCTAAGGCACTGCCGGTCTGCTCACAGAACAAAGGACTGAGCAAATACCAGAGGAGAGCTAGCTGGCAGTGGGCTGGCCCA